AAATAAAAGGACATTTTGAAAGTATACTGAAATTTTTATAGGGTCTGATCTGAGATCCACAGAAGTCAGTGAGAAAATAACCCATTGATTTCAATAAAGTGGGTGTTTGAGTAATATAGTGCCTCAAGCAATCCTGTTTTCTCCCAGTGTATTTCATCATTTGGAACACAGTGATGAAAAAGAATCATGAGGCAAAGAGGATTCAAGTGCCTTAGAACTGTCTTTTGGGGCCTCACCCAAACTCACTTACCTTATTAATTGGCTTCAAATGTGCATTTCTCAGGCCCTGAAGATTTTATATGCTTCTATCCTGTTACCCATTATGATACAAGATCAAGTTATGAAAAATACAGTAAGAGTGAGATTTACAGAAAAGGCTGAAATTATGTTGGATGTTCAGCAGAAGAGTTTTAAAAAGTTCCTCTGTTTAATTACTTTTTCGGCTCCAGCAGAATGTAGGCCATGGACCCCTTCAAGGAATGATACTAAATGAGGTAAGCAATTATTTGTCTTTAAGAAATTTTATGTGACTGTTAATTCCTGGTCTCAAGGAATTACTCTATCAATTGTTGGCATCATGGCTTCCTTGGTTTTGAAAAGCAAACCCATTCCTTCTCATTCAGCCACGTGGCTGGTAAATAAGCTTTGTGCAAATGAGGAAAGAGGGGAATTCGTCAGGAGGTCCTGATTCAGCAAGTCCATTAAATTGATATTCCAGGTCCTTAATGGAGAGCTCACTAAGATACCTGGCTTGCCAAGGTCTGAACTGAGAGCACAGAGTGATAGCAGATAGCCCAGAAAGAAAGCAGACCCATCTCTATTAAAAAATGTAGGTCAATGGTTGGAAGCCAGTGATCGGCCACAGAAGATGTCGTTTATTACCCTCATTTCCTCTGTGAAGGAAGCTTTTCCACTAAAACATTTTCATAGCAAAGGGTCTTTTGTAGCCTGTGTTACATTGTTTGATGAACCTCACCATGAACTGCTTTCTTCCTTATTTTGTCTAATCTTTGTTGCTGCTGTGGCCATTGCCTTGGCCTGTCTCTCTGCATCTCTGGAAACTTACTTCTCATGAACAGTAAGTGCAATCTTAAAACGTAGTCATTCGATTACTTATCTTTGACCACACTCCCAGACTCCTGATTATCAGCCATATCTCTAATTACTGTACAAGACTCTTCTTCTATTGGCATTAAAAATTATTCTGGTCAACATTCACTATATTATAAAGAATTTTAAATTATCATAGATAATACAGACAAAATCCCAGCTGCCAAAATTAATTTGAATATATGAATTATTGTGTAAGGAGAAGTCAATAGGGTAGCTAGACCCCTCCATAGGGCACTTTGTGCAATTAAAAATACAATTTTTCCTTCTTCCCTTTGATTCTCTGACTCATACAAAAATTAATGAGGATTTATTTAAAGTTACACCTACCAAAGTTTGATAAAGGCCTTTGCAAAATGAGCAACAAACTCAGTAAGGAAGGAAGACCTGGAGAATCCACAGCAGTGCTATTCTGAACAATGAGACAGATCTGATAATGCAAGTAATCTATTTAGACAGAAGGGGAGAAGGTTCAGAACAAAGTGCCAGCAGTGTAAATGGAAATATACACACACTGACAGTTCAAAGGGACTCATTACCATAGAACCAGCTGTTTCAATTATAAGGGGAGAAAGGAAAGTCACCAGAAAGAAACTGAGACATCCAATGTATGACAAAACACTGTACAAAAGCATGCTATACCCCTACAAATAACCCCATTCCAGTTAAGAGAGGGGAACCCCCCACGATAACTGCAGCAGTGGCCAGTTTTGGATGCTCTGAGTGGAGCCCACTGAAGTCACACTCAGTGCAATGCAAAGCACCTGTAAGAGTCAGTCACTAAAATATGTATATTCTATTATCCTCTACTAGAAGTGCAAATCTAAGATTCTCCCTTTCTCCTTTAGTATGTGGCTAATGCCATCAGTAACCTCTTATTTTGCAGAGTTCCCACTGTCTTCCTGCTTACAATGCTGTACAGGAGAAAGACAAGAAACTGAACAAACACAAGATCAAAATTACCTTCCCAGAGATAAATGCAGACAACACCTCTGCTAGAAAGCAGTATCAACATTTACTACTGGAAAAGCAGCAGAGATCTTTCCCCCCCCACAAATTAACCAAAGTCTGTTTTATTTACATTCACCGGATTTGTACCAATCACAAGGAGTCTGCCTCTCCCACAAGGCTGGCTTACAGGCTGGTTACAGAGGGTGTGTATTTTGTCCTGTTTAGAAAATGACACCTTCTAGGACAGTGTGGTGTCTTTAGAGGATAACAGAATGTATTTTATTTGGAACAGTGTAGAGGCCAGAAAGAAAACAGACTGAAGCATCTTTGTGCTGACACACAGTAACCACAGGCCCCACAGTTGTCCTGTTATCCACAGTCTTATTTCCTTAGATATGCCTGTCCAAATCCTTCACTTGCAACTCAATAATGTCAAGCAAAAACATTAAATAGTCCCAGTGTTCCTCATAAAAATGACATATTTTATCTCAGAAAACATTAATGAAAGTGGCTTCATTCTTAATTTCACTTTGATTTGCAAAGCCATTAGAACTGATGTTCCATAGCCTTTTCTCACCATTATAGAAGTTAAAAATGTATTTAAAAAGCAAGAGAAAGAAAAGCCAGCAAAGTTCAGACTGTCCCATAACATGAATCCCCGAGCTGATGATTTATGAGGGGACTGAATAACATGAAGCCCCAGTAAAATTCAGGCTGCCAAATAAATAAATGATTTGCCTAATGGTTTTGCTATTGGGTCTCAGGAGTCTAACACACTACTATGGAGGTAATGCCTGAAGCATGGCCAGCTGTAAGCACAGGGGTTGGGCACTGATACATGGAAAAGCTCTGGACCACTGAATCCACTTCAAACATCATACTGAGGAGTTTCACTCACACAAAGGCCCAGAACTATTATATGCAAGCCATGTGTGGTTTGTGAATATAAGTGACATGAACCTAGTAAATCATAGAAGTTCAATTGAATCTCTCTAATCAACAACTTCAAAACTACTAGCATGAGATATTTATTTGACTGCTTATCACTAAAAGCCATTACAATTTTCTTAGGTTTCCCATTTTAGTTTGCTGCTTGTACTAAGCGATATATATCAAATGAAACACAGGAACAGAAGTTTATTCACTCTGAGGATATGCCTTTGCTACTTTTCTTAAATCAGCTCTCCCAGTTAGGTATTAGAGGGAAAATAAAGCTGTCATAAGAAGAACTGAAGCTTTATAATACAGTTACTTATCCAAGAATCTTAAATGACTGGATATTTTGCTATATTTCAGAGAAAGATAAGCCTGGAACAAAATCAAATAATCCCAGCACTCTAAAGTGTAACAGTTACAATTCTGCTATAGGCTGAGAGCCTTCAGAACACATTTCAGGTGAAACAATTCTTGAAATAATTAGCCAATTCTGAACAACAAGAAAGATTTACAGTCTACTCTGTTAATCCTTGCATTATCACCTACACATGCATAAAATACATTTAAAATTACAATTACCCTTTATCCACCTTGGAAAAGCCCACTGGCTATCAGCTAGAAGAAAACCATAGAATTGTTTAGGTTGAAAAGACCCCTAAGATCATGAGTCCAGCCACTAACCCAGCACTGCCAAGGCTACCACTAAACCACGTCCCTAAGCACCACATCTGCACATCTTTTAAATACCTCCAGGGATGCTGAACCAAACGTTTCCCTAGGAAGTCTATTGCAGTGCTTGACAACCGTTTCAGTGAAGAGTTTTTTCCTAATATCTGATCTAAACCTCCCCTAGTGCAACTTGAGGCCATTTCCTCTTGTCCTGTTGCTTTTACTCGGTAATGAAGCAGCAAGTTGTGTTCCTCAGTTACACTCAATTACACCAAAGTATGTATATAAACACATGTAACGCTTGGAAGAGTTTATCCATTTACAGATGTAACATATTGCAAACTGCTAATTTTCCTCAACAGATGGCTATAACGGCTTTTCCTGCAGCATAAAAATGATTCTACAAGAGAAGCTGCTTCCTGCTGCTAAACCAAAGATAGGCACATCAAAAACAGCAGTGAAGAAGAACTTCCCCATTTACTGTTTAGTTCTTGCACTTGCAATATAACCAGAAGGTATACTTGCTACAAGTTGGCTCAGGGCTTCTTTGTAGTGGGAGAAAACCTAAATTTCCCTACTACACAGGGGTCACAATGAGCCCAAAACCAGAACTGACCTTTAAAGTCAAGTTGCTCTGTCAGGTAGGACAGGAGCAGAAGAAAGGGAGCAACAGATAGTGCCACAAGCAGTTGCACTCTCACTTCGTACTCTCTGATCAAACATGCTTGATCCCTTTCTCAGCAACAATCAGAAGCCCTGTGGCCTCCAGGACTCCGACACACAAGGAGCAGCCTGTCCACCCTCAGGGGGCCACTGGGAAATGGACAGCTTTGCCAGTCAGTTCTGAGTTCACTTTCTTTGCAACAGAGGTTCAGGGACAACAGATTGGCTTTGTACCACTAGTTAGAGTATGAATCTTTCTTGCCTTTTTGTCATCTACTTACTTTATATTTCCTTTTCAAGATCCTTGATCAAATGTTTGAAGAGTCACCCATGAAACTTAGGCCAAGCTCACACTGACACTGTCTCAGCTAAACTGGCAAGGGATGTGATCACATTGCAGCTCCAACTGCAGGCACCAGAAAATCCTAAAGGAGATGGAGCTCTGACAGCCAAATTCCATTTATATGGAGAGTGTTAATATCTTTCCTAGATTCATTTCTACTAGTTTAGTCTCACTTTTCAGCCATATTCTATTTCCTGTCTGGAGTGTTTTGAAATCACAGTACCCCCGTACCATAATAGATTCAATCTCTGGAGAAAGCCAGTAGCTATTTTTGGTATCGAACTGATTCATAAAAGAATTGCAGCATGCTGTCATCAAAAGGTCCTACCAGTGCTAAATGTGCTGCTGGTGCCAGTGTCGTGCCACTCCTCTGCTGGCGTGTCCATGCTCCACAGGATCTGTGCTCTACTGAGCGACCAAAGATGGGTCCTACTGCGTCAGGACACAGCGCAGCCTCATATAGATCCTAACCTGGGCCCTGGAAGCAACAGAGCTTTGTCAGCAATGTTATAGCAGAGCTACTTCCTTCTGACACAGTGCCAAGGCTTTGGCTAAATATTACTTTTGAAAACAAGCTCTAGAAATCCAAGCCACCGAGAGTTTTCAAGCTTTTCTCTCCCTCAGGAATTCTTGGGATATGAGAAATAGATGAGAAGCAAGATACTTGGAATATCTTTATAAAACTTTGTCTGACACAAGTCTCTTAAACACTTCTAAAAGGAATCTATGAGTATACACAAGAGCTCCATTTTCTTTGCGAAATCTGCAAGTCCCCATCAGTCTTTGTTCGCATATACTGACAACAAAAGGGTAAAACAAACAACCCAGGGCTTCACCTACATCTGTCTTTACAGGACAAATTTATACAAAGTGCTATAAAGTCCATGAACCACCCACTGACAGACAGAAAGCGGTGCCAATAAGCCAGCAGTGATGGCCCTCAAGGGAGAAGAGACACAAGAGGTTGGTATTTAAGTTCCATCCAGATTGTTCCACTTCACAAATGCGATGTCTATGATCAGATAATCTAAGACATGGTTCTGTATGAATTAAGAGTTTAAAGGCATTCCCTCCAAACCTGTGAAACTGTTAACTCCCTCCCTCACCTGCCTTCTGCCAAATATGATTCCTCTCCAAACAGAAATTTATCAACTCTCTTACATTGCTTATTAAGAGATAATCACAAAGCATCAGGGAGATAAGGAATGACAAAGCAGGGTCACCATGAAGTAATAGTCCACTTTACACGGTGGTGGAAGACCTTAAAAGATGGCAATCTTTGCCCTAAGGATAAATCGCAGCAGCATAAGTGAAGCTCAGGAAGAGAGAAAACAACCATTTCACTCGAGATTAGCTTAGGTAGATGTCTAAGTCACCAGCTTGTTTGAAATACCAACACAGACAAAAGCTTTACAAGCCTAAATAAAAGAGCTGTCAGTGCTTCACTCAAAAGTGATGCTGAAGAGCTTTGGTAAAAATAAAGGTGTGAAGTCAAACTGCAACATCTGGTTGTGCCTGACTTTTCCTCCACGCTAGCTACATGCCCTGCACTTGACTGACAGGAACTTGTACTGTCATGTTCTTGGCCTCACCATCAAGAGACAGAAACGTCAAACAAGTCTGGTAAAACTTCTAATGCTTGTGGAGAGATTGATATTTCCTAAGAAGCCTCAGTAGATATCCTGTGATGCCAAAAAGGAGTGGTGATAACTGAACTAGATTCCAAGTATTCTGTGAGAGTTGCCAAGAACTAAAGAAAATACAAAATTTAGAATATACTAAAACCTGATCTTTGCTCAGAGCACAAAGAAATCTCTTCCTTGTTTAAGTATTTATATATGGATTTTAACTCTAAAAGGACTGCAATCAGTCCTCTTATGTACACCTACATATTTTTAGAATTAGGAATAACGCGTTCACATTAACCAAAACACAACTGTAACAACAGATGATACTCAAATTGGTCTTTGAATACTTCAACCACACGAGGCATTTAATATTTACTGTGTGTTATTCCAGATCTGTATTACAGATTATTATTATTATCCAGATCTGTATCCAGACCCGGATTACTGTGTCTTATTCCAGATCTGTATTGATCCAGGGCAAATAGATCCAATAGACTTTTTTCATAACTTTAAAAAAAAAGATAACTAATGGTCTAATGCATCAACATGTTTCAGTGTACACAAGTGTAAGGTAACTCCAGAATTAAGAGTTTTGAAAGGCCCTCACGAGTATGGAATCTGAGATCTTCATTTCTGTTCCTCTTAGCAGAGAGAAGTAGAACACTTGTTTTTCATTTTCTTCTCTAGTGTCAGCAGCCCCCATAGGTAAAAGTGCTGGGAGAGTAAAAGAACAAAAGCCCCATACAAATTAGTAATAGAGAACATGGGTTATAGGAAATGCATGCCCTCACAGATCAGTCCATTCAATTCATATCTATCAAAATTCAGTGACAGATCTTTAAATACTTCTTTATAACTGTGGTATCGAATCCAGCCTTGGATACCTATGGAAAAGATGCACTAAAAGGTTCTAAAGTATCAGAAAAGATATGCCCTTTTAAAAGCATTTTGCTGTTTCAGTCATAAGCACTCTCTGCCAGTTACAAACATTACAGCAATTGAGATCTGACCCAGTGAATGATGGATGACACTCCTTATGCTCCCGAGCCAAAATGCAAATTTTACCTATAACTTCTGCCCTCTACAAAAATTGGGTTATACAATAACGAGCTCCTTGACTGCTGTTGCATTAGGTCTGTAATGAGATGGAATGCACAGTCATACCATTTAGTGCTCTAAATTGCTTCAACTTTGGAGTAAATATATCAACAAAAACCAAGCTGGGATATTAAGCACAGAGTAATACATCAGAGTAAGACGTTCACTTGCTGATGTTACATGAAAATTATTTTTACATTTCACTGAAGAATTCTTCAAATGATTCACTTGAGTAATATGTTATTAAATGAAGCACATAAAAAGAGACATCTTAAGCATTAACTTAACTGAAGGTAGAAATAACACTGACAAATATTTAATACTTACTGGAGGAAAACTCCAATTCTTCTCATGAGATTTTTACCATAAGCTAGAAAGCCTGACATGAAGGTACATTTCCTACCTGTGTTGGCTCTTACTTTTACCTTTTACAGGAATGTGAGCATTTTGCAACATATTAAGAAACCTGTTTCAGTCAAGTGATTACTGCAGCATTTCTTATTTAGCTACTGCTCCAAGTATGAAGCTTCAGCTTGCTTTTTCCATTCCTCCTCTTTTTCAGCCTCTGAATAGCCATGTTCTTTCCATCTATCGTAAGTAATCTATGACCATCTTTTCTATTCTAGATGTCTGCCAAGATTATGTTTCCAAGTTAGACAGGCTGCCCAAGAAAAATCTCAGAGCACTTTGAACATACCTACTTCATGTTGTCAATGATACCATAAAGGAGCTTTTTAATTCTCAGTCACTGGCACTTCAACATCTGACAAGATGCTGTGTTGCTAAAGTCAAACTGCTCTGGGTCTTCAGTAAAGTTAATGTAGGTAAATTATCTGATAACAGTAATTTAGGTTGAAAGGGATCTCTGGGGATCTCTGTTTCCAATCCCAAGCTCAAAGCAGGTCTGCTTCAGGTAACTGCTGACAGTCTCCAAGGATGAAGATCCCACAGCCTCTCTGGGCCTCTACTCCAGTGTTTAACCACTGTCTCTATGAATATTTTGTTGCCTGTTTCCTTGCTGCAACTTATACCTGCTGCCACACATCCTAGCACTGTTCCTCCAAGAAGGCCCTGGCTCCATCTTGTCCAATGACAGCTCTAAGGCCACATTCCCTCAGCCTTTCCCTCTTAACACTGAGCAAAGCTCAGATCATTTCAGGACTCCCTTTGACTTCACTGACTGACTTAGCTGGTGTGTGCCAGAAGATCTGGTCAACTCAGTTAAAACAATTTAGGACTAAGAAGGAAAAATATCACTGCCATTTCCTGCACACTATGGGGAGAAGACAGGCTTTAGAATACCAAAGTTACATTAAACAAACAGCATGTTCCAACTGGCAGCTGCATCCATAAGTGACTTTTGCAATGCATGAACACTTTGGCAGGTCAAACCCTATGAACAAAACTCATGTACACACTGCCTACGGAGTAACTATTAATACAGAGACAAACATCTTTTATGGGGGTGTAGTACTCCCCATGCATCCCTTTAATGGACACTCAAGAAAGGTAAAACAAATTATTGCAGGTTTAGTCTGGTTGCTGTAATGATGTTTCGGAGTAGAAAGGTGGCTTAGTAGAATGCAATGATAAATCAAGAGAACGAAATAAAGCTTATCTTTCACTACTTGGTATTTTTAATTCCTGGATAATGCCTTTCAGTTAGTGAACTGTTTGAACTCAGACAAATGGTATTTGAAGCTTTTTTCCCCTCAAAACTTTGTTCAAACAAAGATTGCACTGAGAAAATCAAATATTTAGTGTTGCTTTTACCTACAGATTGTTCAAAATGGGTTGCAATTTCTCTTTGCTGTATTTTGAAATTAAAAATTGAATTTAAAGTGTTGTGAAATTTTAAGGGTATTAATCTTTTCTCTTTCCTCAGCTTATCTATTTCCTGTCCTGTACAATTAGTATTTCTTATTACATGAAACTTAGCTACAAAAGTTTCTAACACTTCAAATCTGCCGATTACATAAAATTGTCTACCCAAGTCAAAAGAAGTTTGGAAACAAACTAATTGAAACAGACTCCAAGAAAGTCTCCTAGTTTGTTAACAGTATCATGGGTTTCTAATTTGCCAAAACTGTACCACAAAGGTTTTGCCACACAAATTTGCTGTAACTTGCATTTCTGTTAGCTGCCATCCTTACCTTTCCTTAGTAGTTATAGCAATAAGTCATAGCAATAAGCAGAGTCAACTGAGAGAAGAAGTCGTATTTTCTATTGCCTTATTTCCAGTATGCTCTGCATGTGTTTTTTGCACTTTGCAAAACAATAGCCTCAAACTCCCCCAACAGC